CATTATGAAACAGACTTAATTTCGCATATGGGGGCTAAGAAAGTTGTAAAAGTAATCAACAACTACTGTGTGTGGGTCGGAGTCACGAACAAGTCAAACAACAGGGACTTGCAGTAGCAGTGCGTGGGTAAAGTCAATAGGGAAGCCAAGCCCGGGAAAATAAAGCCATATTACAACCTATGTGTTGTGATAATTGCGTTGTTTGCTTTATAACCTGTTGGTTCATATGCCTTGCCACCGTGATAGGCCTAAGGCCAAGCAAATAAGAAGACACAGTGAAGAATAAATTCAACCACATCTTTGTTTCATCACAAAACCGGAGAGCAATGTCTGTCATGTGAAGTCCACAAAGCATATTGCATGTAACAAACAGTTACATGACCTACAGCATGGTCAAGCAAGTTAAAACCAGTTAAATGTAACTACATGTAATCTATGTAATCTCCAAAAGTAATTATTTATCATGAGAGGGCCATAAACAATAATATTTTATATGTATTTCCTATTGAACAAAACTGTATGAATAAGGCTTGAAATTACTTATATGCTTTCGAAATATAGTATAATCAAATTATAAAACAACTAACTATAAGATTTCACCTTCCTTATAACTGTAAAATACATATTTGTATGTTTAGTGTTAGAGACAATATGCATATTTTCTAACGGTCTCTCCTGATCAAAATGTCTGCCCACATCGCTGTGAATGTCTCACAGAGCTCTAGCTTGGCTTCCTGAACTCGTTAGGAACTCGCCTTTCATCTCATATTAATCTTGTCCATCTATGACAAACAGAAAGTGTTTTTTGTTTCAAATCTATGAATTATTTTAGATTAATGACTATAAATCGATCTCTGAATGTGCTACCATAATGAAACCACTCTCTCCTGCTGCGCTACAATGTAACGATTGCAGGCAAGTGCTTTGACAGTGGCTGTGATGTAGGGTTCAGCCAGGAGTTGATGGACAGCCGGATGAGCGAATTAAATGGTAAGAGGGACATCCCAGCTTCAAGTGGTTTCAGATTTCACTTCCTATGTCACACAGGCTCAGAAAATATACTCTGTGTCTGTGGGAACCAGGCTATCGCTCAATGCAAGCCATTTAGATCTACAGTGACACAGCTCGATTTATAAGCGAAAATGTCGGTTGGAACCAGTACCAGAACCACGCAGGTACCCTAAACAGGGGACTTTACATCCAAGAGATAATTATTATTGTTTGATTAACCATTGATTTAGATCCACGGAGCGTTACCGCAACTAGCAATGAAAACAGGAGCTGCCTCCACTATTCCAGCACCATTTCAACTTCAACTTCAACATCATCAAATCACCTATGCTTAGACTAATACAGTGACAACTAAAAGATACCAAAAACGATTTAGTCTAATCAACGTACGCTAAATATGATGTGGCTGTCCATAGTATTGATTATGTGTGTATGTGTGCAAATAGAAAAAACATTGACTCACCCTACTTGTAGAGAAACGCATGCACAAACGCCAATGCCATCCTCCTCTCTTTCATGTTGCTGAAACGTCTGAGGCTACCTGGCAAAAACTGATTGCTCGCTAGCCTAACTTCCTTTAATGGGCAACGATGAGCTAGCTAGTTAACATTAGCCAACTAGCTACATCTAGTTACATATTGAACTTCCATCCTCTCAGGCCAGGGGTACAATGTATGAATTTATGGTTGGATCAGAATCGCCATTATAAATCCAAATCCCTATCTCCATCCATGGCTAATTTAGGAAAGGGTCAATTTTAGCTAGCTAACCACCAGAGGACAACGACACAACTAGATGCAACAATTCAAGTTTTTTCAATCAATTATGTTTGGCTTGTGATGTGATGTGATGTGATGTGATTGGTGTGAAAGCCAAATCCAAAAAAAAAATGTCATGCAGCAGGACCATTCACAGTTTAGCTCAACACTGATTGTCTATTATTTTATCATTTTTTTATTAAGGGAGGCCAAATGCTAACTGGCTTCCCTTGCATTCAATGCTACGGGCGGCAACAATGTCATACTCCTTTTGACCAGACAGCATCAGATAGATGGGCAACACATCCTGAGACAGAGGGGCGCTGTTTCGCTCGCTCGGATGCTTTCTCCGGTGAGATACATTCAGCCTCTTGCGAATTGAAGAACAATTATGAAACAGAGAGACGAAAGATACATTATTTAGTTTTTTTTCTTTGTAAATTGTTAAGCCTGGCTTCCCTTGGAACCATGAATACATGCCACTGGGTTCTTGAACAAGCGATCGACAATGAGACAGGTCATGAAGCTAGCGCATGAAACGAAGCAATAGCAAACATTATCAACCTGTGCACAATAGCAAATTACATCAGCCTGTGCATGGTGTGGCGTACCGCAGACAAGCCGGACAGAGTCTACATCACGCGGAGGTGGCTCCCTCTGCTGGATGAGCCTGGTTTCGATGGCTCCTCCGGCCAGGACTAATTGAGGCTGGTGAGTAATCAAGGGGCTGATTGTTCACCAGCCATACGGAGCCCATAAAGCTGCCAGGAGGGAAGCGGTTGGAGGTAGTGAGAGGTTGCTACCGGATAGACGTCCTCACGGTCTGCTAGAACCGAGGGGCTCGGTGTTCTACCCCAGAGGAGACCGCATTCCCTGAAGCCCAGAAGACGGTAACCCGGAAGAGGTCTCCTGGAGGAGACCTGTTTTCTTTTCTTTTTCTTTATTGTTTGAAATAAACACCCTTGAAACTGAGGTATCACACTTGTGTCTGATCGGTGTAAACATTTAGATCAGGGCTGCCCAACCCTCTTCCTGGAGATCTACTGTCCTGTAGGTTTTCAGTCCAACCCTAATTTAGCATATCTGATTCAGTTAGTTAAGGTCTTGTTGAGCAGCTAATAAGTAGAACCAGGTGTGTTAAATTAGGGTTGGACTGAAAACCCACAGGACGGTAGATCGCCAGGAAGAGGGTTGGACAGCCCTGCATTAGATCAAACCCCCTGGTCTGCAACAATGGTTTATAGCAAACGACAAAACAATAGACATCAGCAAATTCATTATACAATACAGTATTGGAACATATAGAACAACCTAGATTAACCCAATGATAATGAGCCAGCTGTGCCTTTTACACATTTAAATCAGCCGAAGGCCAGTCGTGACAAAAAATGCATCAGGTCAATCTCTTGGCCTGACAAATAAAATATTTTTGAGGCAGTATCTTAGTAAAATCATGTTGCTATAGGTTTATATTACCCCAAGTATGCATTACCTTCCAACGATTTTCTTAAACCCACCTTGGTCGCAATCAATCAAAAGGTTTGTCTCTTGAACTTGGGTTCTGGACTGAATCATGGCCCATATAGCCCATCTCTCCAAATTGTCATTTGTGAGAAAATACAAACGATTACTACGTGGTCTTTGTCTTATTAGAAGTCCTACTCTGACACCCAGAGAAAACAATTCTGAATAATGACAAATTGCAACAGAAATAATGTTATAATCCGTATTTATTTAAATAAACAATTTGTGTAATCTCTTCACAGTTGTGTTCTGTGGTTGTCACTGAGTAGACTGATAGCCCATTTCATTTATCCACAATCCATAGGTAAGGCTGTAAAATGCAACGTCAATGTCAATACGCACAATAGGCTAAATGGGGAGGTGATTTCCCACAGTCAAAGTCCTGCAATATGAGCTACGACGCTAATATTTGTATAACCTTTTCATTGTTATGTTCTGTTGGTGTCACTGAGTAGACTGATACCCCATTTCATTGATCCACAATCCACAGGTAAGGCTGTACAGTAAAATTTAAGTATGTCCCCAATTCTGAAGTCTAATACATCCACAGTGCGATTTCAACTGATGTAACTTTTTTTGGTCAAATTAACTCATTATTGTCTTTTGTTGATTTTATATAACAACATCCCAACATTGTCTAGTCCAAATATAGCATGATTCCACTATTTATATCCATTTACATCACATTAAATTACACTTTTATTTTGAAAGGGAACCACAAATTCCATTATTGTGGCTAGCTTCACATAGGTCTAGCTAGCTACTGTCCTTCGGTTGTCGATAGTTACCACAGTCACAAAGTGGCCTTATCGTAAAAATTAATGAAAACAAAAAATAGCTTTTGGTCTTCATTTAAGGTTAGAGTTATGCATAAGGTTATGCATAAGGTTAGAGTTATGCATAAGGTTAGCAGTGTGGTTAGGGGTAGGTTTAAAATCAGATTTTAGGAAGATACATTAGCGGGGTTTAGCCATAATTAAATAAAGGTTAAATAAATAAAAATATTTTAAAAATATGACTTTGTGGCTGCGGTAACTAGTGACGACCCCGTCAAAGACAGTACAGTGAAGATAGGCTAAAACTGATTCTCCAATAGAAATCCCTGATCACACTTGTAGGCGATTTCATGACGACGTTGGCGAGCATTGCCCATGCGTAGAAACAAGTCATCAGGTCTAACGGTCGTCTCGCGCTGAACTGCGCATGTGCTGGCCGACAAATCAAAGGCACTCCTATATCAGGTTGTTTTTGATGAAAATTAAAACGTGTCAGTTTGTCACTTTCACGAGGTTGGAGTAATAACATCTTCAACTACTTGAGACATTGGTTCGAATCTAGATTGTGCCTTTAGATTTCGAGAAAATCAACAAGAATTTTACACTTCTTTCATTGACTTCTCAAACACCGGCCTGGTCGGAAGCGTTCCTGAAAGTCTTGCAATATAACGCCTCTGGGTTTAGAAACTCTGTGATCCTGTCTTCCTCCTCCTTCGCCTTCTTCGCCTTCTTCTTCTTCTTCTTCGGTGGGGTTTTACAGCGCACTATATCTTATTATGGTGTATTGCCGCCACCTACTGGGTGGGGTGAAAACTGAGAAACTTTAACGCAAAAAGGGAAATTGCTAAATAGGGTGAAGGGTGAAAAACAGTCATAATATTCACCCCAAAAAACGTAAACAAAAAACAATAACGAGGCTCAGAACGCCTCCATGCTGCAGGTGGGCCTGAAGATCCGAGCGGTGATGGGGAGAATGACAGCTCTACAACTCAACATGTGTGATTCTATGTTCCATAATGAAGAGCTTATGGACATACTGAGACAGTGGAAGTTTAACGCACTCCTTTCTGATCCAATGATGCCTTGCAGTGACTTAATGGCAGATGCTCTTAACATACCTCTCATTATCTCGTTAAGGTTTACATTTGGCATGGCTTTCGAGAGGCATCGTTGCCAGTTACCAGCAACCCCCTCTTTCGTTCCTACAATTTTGTTATGTATATGATGCAGTCTAGTCTTTTCTGTATACACTGCCTAGTGACCCTGCATAATTACTACAGTGAGATCAAGGGTAAGTTGATCATAATTTGTCAAAAGTTTGAAGGGTCCTTGCATCAGAAGCTCAATCTTATCTCTGGTATTTGAATATCTGCAAATAGAACATAATGTCATAACTTGGTTTATTCTTGTCTTTTTTTTTTTTTTCACCTTTATTTAACCAGGTAAGCCAGTTGAGAACAAGTTCTCATTTACAACTGTGACCTGGCTAAGATAAAGCAAAGCAGTGCGATTAAAAACAACAACACAGAGTTACATATGGGGTAAAACAAAACATAAAGTCAAAAAATACAACAGAAAATATATATACAGTGTGTGCAAATGTAGCAAGTTATGGAGGTAAGGCAATAAGTAGGCTATAGTGCAAAATAATTACAATTAGTATTAACACTGGAATGATAGATGTGCAAGAGATTATGTGCAAATAGAGATACTGGGGTGCAAATTAGCAAAATAAATAACAATATAGGGATGAGGTAGTTGGGTGGGCTAATTTCAGATGGGCTGTGTACAGGTGCAGTGATCGGTAAGGTGCTCTGACAACTGATGCTTAAAGTTAGTGAGGGAGATAAGAGTCTCCAGCTTCAGAGATTTTTGCAATTTGTTCCAGTCATTGGCAGCAGAGAACTGGAAGGAATGGCGGCCAAAGGAGGTGTTGGCTTTGGGGATGACCAGTGAGATATACCTGCTGGAGCGCATACTACGGGTGGGTGTTGCTATGGTGACCAATGATCTAAGATAAGGCGGGGATTTGCCTAGCAGTGATTTATAGGCCTGGAGCCAGTGGGTTTGACGACGAACATGTAATGAGGACCAGCCAACAAGAGCGTACAAGTCACAGTGGTGGGTAGTGTATGGGGCTTTGGAGACAAAACGGATGGCACTGTGATAGACTACATCCAATTTGCTGAGTAGAGTGTTGGAGGCTATTTTGTAAATGACATCGCCGAAGTCAAGGATCGGTAGGATAGTCAGTTTTACGAGGGCATGTTTGGCAGCATGAGTGAAGGAGGCTTTGTTGCGAAATAGGAAGCCGATTCTGGATTTAACTTTGGATTGGAGATTCTTAATGTGAGTCTAGAAGGAGAGTTTACAGTCTAACCAGACACCTAGGTATTTGTAGTTGTCCACATACTCTAGGTCAGACCCGTCGAGAGTAGTGATTCTAGTCGGGTAGGCGTGTGCCAGCAGCATTCGATTGAAGAGCATGCATTTAGTTTTACTAGTGTTTAAGAGCAGTTGGAGGCTACTGAAGGAGTGTTGTATGGCATTGAAGCTCGTTTGGAGGTTTGTTAACACAGTGTCCAATGAAGGGCCAGATGTATACAAAATGGTGTCGTCTGCGTAGAGGTGGATCTGAGAGTCACCAGCAGCAAGAGCGACATCATTGAAATACACGGAGAAAAGAGTCGGCCCAAGAATTGAACCCTGTGGCACCCCCATAGAGACTGCCATAGGTCCAGACAACAGGCCCTCCGATTTGACGCATTGAACTCTATCTGAGAAGTAGTTGGTGAACCAGGCGAGGCAGTCATTTGAGAAACCAAGGCTACATTTGATTGTTTTAGAGTGAATAAGCAAAAACAAGTAAGGCACTCCTTTGATACAGTTCTGATAGAAGCAGTGCTTTTCCTATTGACGTTATATGTGAACAGAATCTGTTCTGTGTGCAAATTTGAAAAACTTAATGCATATTACACACTTTTCAGTACAATAACTGTTCCATTGTGATGGAGAATCCTCTTTGAAAGTTTGGTCCTGCTTTAAATTACGTTCAGCTATTAAAGGCTTCATAAAGCCTTCAAAATGCCTTCATACACACTACATAAATGTGTTACAAAGCATCTATAACTGTATGTCATGCTTTATAAAGGGTTCATAAATGTGTCATAACTGAGTGACAATCACCATTGTCAAATGTGACATAATCCACTATGCAGAATATGATATATACACGTGCTTTATAAAGGGTGACATGTTGTGCTGAAGGATGGCAAACACTCTAAAGTGAAGTCATGTTAGTCGCTTAAGACCTAATCCGTTCCCAGAAACTTCAGCCGAAATGCGCGGAAGGTTTGGTGGACTAACGCATCACACTTGGCCTTCATTAGATAGGGTTAGGTTTCAAATCTAATTTTAAGAAGATAAATTGTGGAAATGGGCAGGGTTTAGCCATAATTATGACTTTGTGGCTGTGTTAACTAATGACGACCTGGAGGAATGATGACAAATACTTAGAATTATAAGGTCACTCCCACTAAGGCCAACTTTGAATGGTTGATATCCCAGGCTTATACACTACCAGTCAAAAGTTTGGACACACCTACTCATTCAAGGGTATTTCTTTATTTTTTAAAATGTTTTACATTGTAGAATAGTAGTGAAGACATCAAAACTACGAAATAACACATATGGAATCATGTAGTAACCAAAAAAGTGTTAAACAAATCAAAATATATTTGAGATTTGAGATTCTTCAAATAGCCACACTTTGCCTTGATGACAGCTTTGCACACACTTGGCATTCTCTCAACCAGCTTCATGAGGTGTCACCTGGAATGCATTTCAATTAACAGGTGTGCCTTCTTAAAAGTTAATTTGTGGAATTTCTCTCCTTCCTAATACGTTTGAGCCAATCAGTTGTGTTGTGACAAGGTAGGGGGGGTATACAGAAGATAGCCCTATTTGGTAAAAGACCAAGTCCATATTATGGCAAGAACAGCTCAAATAAGCAAAGAGAAACGACAGTCCATCATTACTTTAAGACATGAAAGTCAGTCAATACGGAACATTTCATGAACTTTGAAAGTTTCTTCAAGTGCAGTCGCAAAAAACATCAAGCGCTATGATGAAACTGGCTCTCATGAGGACCGCCACAGGAATGAAAGACCCAGAGTTACCTCTGCTGCAGAGGATAAGTTCATTAGAGTTACCAGCCCAAATAAATGTTTCACAGAGTTCAAGTCACAGACACATCTCAACATCAACTGTTCAGAGGGGACTGTGTGAATCAGGCATTCATGGTCGAATTGCTGCAAAGAAACCTTTTAAAACACAGGCTTATGTCATATTTGACATAGTGGGTTATGTCACATTTGACATTGGTGGTTATATCACACAGTTATGCCACATTTATCAACCCTTTATAGAGCATGACATATGGTTATAGATGATTTCTGACACATTTATGTAGTGTTTATGAAGACTTTATGAAGGCTTAATGAAGCCTTTATAAGCTGCACGTCATTTAAAGCGGTCTAATGCTATAACTACTTATTCAGCAGTACTGTGTCTCATTCATAATCCATCTTAATATTTATCAGGCAAACCTACGACTTTATGTGAGACCATGGGGAAGGCAGATATCTGGTTGATACGAACCTACTGGGACTTTGAGTATCCTTGACCTTTCCTTCCAAACTTTACATTTGTGGGCGGCCTTCACTGTAAACCTGCAAACCCACTTCCAGAAGTAAGGCCTTTAAATACAGTCTATCAACTGTCTTACAAGATAATTCAACAGTCCTGAAGGCTGATATCAGCGAATCACAATAAAGTAACATGTTATCAGTCCATTTAGTAGGATTGCACTGAGATTGTGTTGTTTTTTTCAGGCCATGTAGGAGTTTGTGCAGAGCTCAGGAGATGATGGAATCGTGGTGTTTTCACTGGGGTCCATGGTCAAGAACCAAACTAAAGAAAGAGGAAGCACCATAGCCACTGCACTGGGAAAAATACCACAAAAGGTTAGTCGGTTGCTTAAAAAAAATAGCTTTGTACAATTGTTATAAGCAGAGGTGTCATCGCCATTGATCCCTGATTTTGATCCATTTGTAGAATTCAAACATACAAGCAGCCTACAGTTTTCCTTTACACAGAATTCTGTCAGAGATATTGAATTTAGCTATTAATGCCCCTTCAAAAAGCATATTAGAGTATCGTTTCAATCCAGATTCTCTTTCATATTCCTGTTTTCTCACCAAAGGTGTTGTGGAGATACAGTGGGGAGAAACCAGAGACTCTTGCCCCCAACACAAGAGTTTATGACTGGATTCCACAAAATGATTTACTTGGTAATATGTCCTTCTTTATAACAGTCATATAAACATATAAACAGTCCTTGTGTGCAACACCGTGTTCAACAACCCTACTTTTCTCTCATTGTGTTGTATCAAAAAGGTCATCCAAAGACCAAAGCCTTCATCACCCATGGTGGGACAAATGGATTATATGAATCCATTTACCATGGATTACCAATGGTGGGCACCCCCCTGTTCGCTGACCAGCCAAGCAATATCATCCAGATGAAAAACAAGAGAGCTGCTGTGATGGTGGACTTCAACAAGATTACATGCAAATACCTTGTGGATGGCCTCAACAGTGTGATCCATGCTCCATCGTAAGTCACAAATATACAACTGGTTTCCCTCACTCACAGATTGGTTTATTTCAAAGCCACAACCATTTGGACAACTGTTGAACATGTGCAGTGAAATAACTGTGTCTATTCCCCTTTCACCATGTATAAAGCAAGCATAATGAGGCTGTCAAGAATCCACCACGACCTACCAATGAAACCCTTGGATACAGCTGTGTTCTGGATTGAATTTGTGGTGCGTAACAAAGGGGCTAAGCACCTGAGGGTGGAGGCCCATAACTTGAGCTGGTACCAGTACCACTGTCTAGATGTGGCAGCTGCCCTGCTTGCCATAGTGACACTTGCCATTGTTGTATGCATTAAAACATGCATTTTCAGCGTCCACAAGTGCTGCAAGAAAACTAAAGCAAGACAGAAGACAGTGACCCCTGGAATAATGTTAATGTCAGGATTATTGCAGTGAAACAGTCATCTGTGCTCTGATATGTTTTATGTTGACATTTAATTGTACTTAATTACAGGATTTTTGTTTGTATGGTATATAAATGGTTCACCACTGGTTTTGAGTCATTTCATGTGTACGAGGGCTAGTCTCTTGCTCTGTTGGCTAAGATGGTTTGCTTTGTTGTGTGTGTTGTAGTTATACTGCAGAAGGTTGCTATGATCCCTGCTCGGATCCCAGTTGGGAC